AAATTTGATCAGATTTATAAACTTCAAAATCGTACTTATTCATGGACATAATCATGGTGTGTTTCAGGAAATGTCTTTCATGATTCGACAATCTGTAGAAGCAAGCCAAAGAGCCATAGAATCCTCATTCGGGAGGAACTTTCGTTTGTAATGCTTCGAGCATAAGTCTTTGAATGAAGATCATGGTGGAGGCTTATTTAGCTCTTCCATGCCATTGTTGGCTACGATGGTTTCTTAATTTCTTGATAGTCAAGTGGAGATTCACATTTTGTACCCCACATAAAGTGGCTTATATTAGAAACTTCCAAATAAGGGAAATCGAACTTGTGATGGTTCGACAATCCATTGATTTGGAGGGAATAAGATTGTGATTGGTGATATGGGAATGAATCATCCATACGCATCAAAGTTAGAACATTTGAGTTCTAAGACATGGTTTTCATGAAAAATTTGGGTTTTCATGGGTGTGTTGTTTTATGAAAACTTTGGGCTTCAAAGGCATTAAATTTGAAACTACAAGTTCAATTTAGTTTATGAACGTTTAGTTCATAAAAGAGAGGTTCCCGGAAGAACACATAATGCAATATGCTGATTTAAGTGTAGTGGATTTGAGTTGCTTCAGGAACTCAAGTGTGAGTGCTTCGGGACTACGAAAGTGAGTCAACGGTTCAAAGAAGAAAAATAAAATATTGAATCAATAATGTCCAAAAGTGATCTTCAGGTTAATAATTTTGGATTAATTATCAGATTAATGAACTGCATGTCACTTTTAATTAATTCAATAGAATGGAACCATTCGGGGTTGATCTTAGAAGCAAAATTGAAAAAATTGTCTAAGCCCATATGTTATTTACTGTGGGCTGCTGGCCATAGGAAATCACGTCCAAATTTGGGCTCGGGTCATGGCTGCAAAGCAGACCAGATAGGCTGCAAGGGGTAGGCCACGACTGTTGTGCAATTCACGGTGGTGCAGGTTTAAAGGGCCAAGGGAAAGGTGCAGAGCCCAGTAACGTTATCCTGCTAGCTTTGGGACGAGGTGCGAGGGAGCCCAGCTTTGCTGGCTTTAGTAGACAAGCCTAGCTTTGGACCGCAGGCCAATTGAGCCCAATCAATTACTGGCTGATGGGCTGAAGGCGCTGGACAAGCCTAGCAAGTGCTGGCTTGGTCTGGCGCGGGCTGGAGCAGGGGAAAGCCCAGCAAACAAATGCTGGTATGCTGCTATGTAGGGCTATGGGCCCAGCAACATTCAAAAACCCTAGGCCGTGGCTCAGTCGAAGTATTTCCCAAAAAAATAAAAAATAAAAAATTCAACAATCTTAGGGTTTGAAAAACCCTAATTGCTTCTAATTTCTTTCAATTTTTGACTCACAAATTCCATATAGCAAAAATTGCGCAATGCAGGAAACGTGTGTGTGTGTATATATATATATATCGGAAGATAAATATAAATGTAGGGGGTTCATGCATCATGGTGAATGTCTTTATGCTTCATGGTCGTTTCAAATATCTTTCTTTATTTTAAGCGTACCTGATTGACAAAAAACAACAAAAGCCTTTGAATTTGTAGAAGATCCTTCTCGGAAAGTCGGAATTGCATCTCCAATGCATTGTATCATGTTCAACACAGAAAAATTAAATTGAATCAATAGCATGTAAATCAATTCAAAATAATAAATTAATCATAATAATACTCCCCTAATTGAAGATCAAACTCACTTTGGCTCAACGTCAAGAACGCGATGATAACGTGTTGTAGGCATAATTTACTGAACAATTATGGAGGCCATAGAGAGAGAGGTGCGGCACATAGAGAGAGAAGAGAGAGATGTGTAATTGTAAGGTGTGTTCTATTCCACCCCATTGTGCCTTTATTTATAGTAGTAGGATAGTTAAAATCCTTAACCTTTTAGGATAGGTAATCAAATCCTAATAAGAATATAAGAGATATTTATAGATACACTAGGATTTATACAATCACATTTCTAATCTAATAGGACTGCAACATACATAATAATTTAAAAATATTATAAACATCTTTCTCATCTTGAAGATAAGATTATATTTTAATTTTAGGAGAAAAAAAAAATATTCTGTAGAAAAAATATAGAAAAGAGGTAATTAGATAAATATTTTGAATAAAAACGATAAATATCTCTTAAAAAAGGAGTCCACAACTTCTTAAATACTTTAAAAAATTATCAAAAAATTGAAATAATAATTTCGAAAAACTTTACCTTTATGTTTTGGGTGAATAATATACATGCTAAAAAACAAAAAACAAAAAATCTTTGCATGTTCAATTTTTATTTTTGCACAAAAACCTCCAACATCCGAGGTTTTTAATGAAAAACTTTACTTTTATGTTTTGGGTGAAGGATTTCTACGTTCCAGGGATCAAGGCCAAATTAATAAGGAACGAATCACAAAATATGTTAAAGGATTAGAAAATGCATAAGATGAGGATTATAAAGGCACATGAGAGGAATTTTCAAGTCCCTACTTTAAATGTGTGAAGAGAATTGAGGTTCCACCATAAAATCAATTGGTAAATATGGGGAGAAGTCTAACCTCTTATAAGCCCATGCAAGGTCTCTCCTCCCATCAATGTGGGACTCATTCTCAACACGCCTCCTCACGTGTGGAGAATTTTCAAGCCTAACACGTGGACAACATAAATTGGGTGACGTGGAGCACGTGTGGCCATTTGGCTTCACACGTGAGACAACCTATCTCTGATACCATGAAGAAAGTTGAGGTTTCACCATAAAACTAATTGGTAATATGGTGAGTAACTCAATCTCTTATAAGCCTATGCAAGGTCCATCCTCCTATCAATATGAGACTCATTCTCAACAATGTGTCATTTACAAATCTCTCTTACATACCTTTGTAATGCTCATATAATGCATTGATAATCTATCCTAACTTTTTGTCATCTATTCCTTACTAACTTGGCCTCAATACTTTGAGACATAAAGATTATTCACAAAACATAGCCTAAATAAATATGAGGCATCCATTATACCCTTACATATAAAATACGTGAAAATCGAAAGAGCCAAACTGGGGCTTGTGTTTGGATTCTGAAGTGTATACATTTACCCTATGTTTGAATGCGAGAATTTTAAATTACCAGAAAATTTTAGACCCAATAATTTTTTTTTTTTATTTAAGAATTAGTTTGGCTTAAGAAGTCTGACTGCCTAGTTAGACAACGCTAGAGTTAACTGCCTAGTTAGACAACGCTAGAGTTAAAGAATTAGTTTGGCTTAATAAGTCTTGACTGCTCGGTTAGACAACAAGTTTCTCAAGTTCGACTGATTAACTATCCTAAGCTTCCCTTAGCGAAGAGTCTTTGATCGAAAGAGGTTCTTTCATCACTCTAGCGAAGTGGAGTGTTTTATGATTGGATATTCTCAATTCACTTTTAAAGTTTAGCATTCAGACGGCCGACCACTTTTACAATAAAGACGCTCATTTCCCTTGAGTATCTTTGCCACTACAGTTTGATAAAGGTTTGGCAGACCTATATTCTCACCAATATAATTGAGACTGCCAAACTCGGTGCAAAAGATCAAGAACTTCATAGAATTTGCACAACATTGTCTTCAGATCATAGAACTCAAGGCCAAGAGTGTTCATTTCTCGACTGAAATTACTCAATTCAGGAGTCAACAACGCGATTCACCACAACACCACACTCATATTGCTCGATTGAGCTCGGTAGCAAGTTGGCACGCTTTCATCAATAATCAATCGCCAAAAGACGTAATTAGTTCTTTAATTACTTCAGCCTGCACGCAACATAGACTGTTTTATTTTTAGAGTCAACAACATAACATATGCATAGTTATAATACATTATTCACACCCATATGAAATTTCGCTCATTGACTATGTAGTTTTAACAAATTACTCATATTTTAGGATGTTAGACGATGGCATTGCAGAAAGGATTTTATACCTTTCGTATGTCTTGTCAAATATTGATCTTTCTAGATGCTCAACCGCAAAGAAATGTGAGAATACCTAACCACCACCGTCCAAGCCTGGTCTAATGTTTCATTTATGTTACTATCTACATAGTACTTTTCTAATTGTTATATATGAGAGGAAATGGATCATTCCCAGATCATTTCCATCAAATTCATCTAATCAATTAATTCAGTCTTTGAAATTTGATTCAACGACTAAAGTTATTATAACTCTTAAAAATGTCCCATATTTTTAGCCGTTTGATCAAATTTCAAGGATCTGGATTGATTGATTTGGTGAATTTGGTGGAAGCAATCCAGAGAGGATCACTTTCCTTTGAGGTTGAGCTGCGATTTGCAAAGGAGGCCACAATGTTGACCTTTTTTTATGTCAATCTCTGAGTTGAGTTGCAGAGTTCCACACGTTATTGTTATTGTATTTGAATTTTGTGTATTAGCAAATCAAAAGTCATAGGGGAGGGTCAATAGTCCTATTTTCCTACCGTTCACAGGTCAAAAGTCCACCCTCGGACCAATTCCACGCACAACATTTATTCTCTAGAAACTTCACTTCCATGACATAAAGAGTACACCATTATATGATGTTTTTTGTATCAATAAAATAGAACATACGAGAGATTTTTTAATACTTTTACAATTAGCAGTGGTATACTACATTTAGTATACAAATGATGAAATATTTGTGTTAAAATATTAACTATTTAATAAAAAAAAATTACCCTCAACTCATATATAAATGTACCACTATATGTGTTTCGGACACAATAAAAAAATTCGCCAAAATTGAAAATAAAATTACACGTACTTATTTTATTAGAACGATATGCCAATAAGTCCTCCACTTTCATGCGCACTAGTTGAATATTTCAAACTTTAACGACCCATCTCTCTCACCGTCCCACCCATTAATTAATGCCATAAAGCTATTTGCTTGCTCCATTCTCACTATAAATATCTAACTCCCCCTTCTTCTTCATCAATCAATCACAGCTTCAGAAATAATCAAATGGCGGCCAGAAGCATAATATTAACCCTTTTTATTGTAGCCACCGGAGTCCTGTCCGGCTATGCAGACGCTCAGAACTGTGGCTGTGCCGCAGACCTGTGCTGTAGCCAATACGGCTACTGTGGCACAGACGATGCCTACTGCGGCAAAGGCTGCCAGTCAGGGCCTTGCAAGACGCCGGCTCAAACACCGAGTACCAACGATGTGGTGGTGGCGGATATTGTAACGCCCGAATTCTTCAACGGGATAATTGATCAGGCGGACGCAAGTTGTGCCGGCAAGAACTTTTACTCCCGAGCTACCTTCCTTGAAGCTCTCAATTCCTATAATCAGTTCGGTAGGATTGGTTCCGTTGACGACTCTAAGCGTGAGATTGCTGCTTTCTTTGCCCATGTCACCCACGAGACTGGACGTAAGTTATATTTCTCCCCCACTTTATTGTTTACACATGCAAATCTACATATGTATGCTTATCAGCAGAACCGTTATATATATTTCATGTATGAAAGTAGATCTAACCACTCTAAAATACATAATTAGCTAGCAGTATGATTAATAAAGATCGTCACTGCTAAGAATCGTCCAGATCGGAAAGCTAGAGGCTAGTTGATTTGTGAAAGAAGATTTAAAAATAAACGATTTGAATCATGAAAAAATATTGTACAGTGGGTCAAATGCGTGAGTAACGCAGCAACTTAACTAATTAGCGCTTTAAGGCTCATGATAGTTAATAATACCGTTCATTTGCTCCTTTTATGTATGCACACAGAAAGAAAAGCTGGCAAATAATTGAACTCAATAATCAATGCTGAATAATTGAAAGCAAGATAATGTATGATTGTGCAGATTTTTGCTACATAGAAGAGATAGATGGAGCCTCAAAAGACTACTGTGATGAGAACAACACACAATATCCATGCAACCCAAACAAAGGGTACTATGGGCGTGGACCTATCCAACTATCATGGAATTTCAACTACGGTCCGGCCGGAGAGAGCATTGGGTTTGATGGACTAAACTCTCCTGAAACCGTGGCCAACGACCCTGTCATTGCTTTTAAAACGGCGCTGTGGTACTGGATGAACAACGTTAGGCCGGTCATCGCTGAAGGTTTCGGTGCAACCATTCGAGCCATCAATGGTGCGCTTGAATGCGATGGTGGAAATCCTGCTACGGTTCAGAGACGTGTTGAGTATTACAAAGAATATTGTAACCAACTTGGTGTTGCTCCTGGTGACAATCTCACCTGCTAGTTACTATATACTAGCTTAACTAGGATCCTAGGATCATTTTTCTCCTTTCATTCTTGTTTTCTTCTTGTCAAATAAAAATTTATGGACGACGTGAATAAATGAAAAACAGGATTATAATTTATAGATGAGCTCTCATTTGATTTGATTTTTTTATTTTTTTTTATGCAAAGACCACTAATTAACGAACAAAAATTATCTTTCTTGAGACGGCCTGGACCGGTTAACCAAATGTGCTTTGCACTGATGAACTTGATGAGCGCAACCAAGGAGCTTTGCTCTCCTAGGAAACAAAAGATACTAATGAAAGCTGGAGATTTAATTAAATAAGATTTAGTTAAATTTCAACAGCTCATTCGTGAAAATAATGTGCAAGGGAGAATAATGCCACAACCAAATGGGGGTAATAATAGACATCCAAAAAACAAAAAACAAAAATCTTTGCATGTTCAATTCTTTATTTTTGCACAAGAAACTCCAACATCTAACGCTTTTAATGTGTTCTTTTTTTTTTCTTTTCCAAGATTGATAAGAGTCATTACATGGTTTGCTACAAGGCCATTTAAGGCATCATACTCTCTTCAATAATTAAATCTGAGATTAAGGTTGGGAGTTGGTTATCCTAATCACGGGCGTTGCTCATCAAAAGGCCCCAGCGAGCGAGTCTCTGTGCTGCGTTGTTTGCTTTGCGGCAGGTGCGGGTTAAAATAGCTCTAGTGATTGTTGATAGTAGCTCCTTTATATGATCCATAACTTGTCCAATGTCAAATAAGTCGGTGTGGACACTTGAACAATTTGAAGCGAGTCGCTCTCACATTGAAAGTTTTGGAAACCCTTATCTCTTGCCCAAACCAAGCTCGCCCTTACAGTAACAGCCTCTACCTATAAAGGGGAAAAACAGTCCTGAAAACTGCCACACCATGCAGCCAAGAAATTCCCTGCGTCGTCCCTTAAAGCAGCTCCAAAACCAACAACCTTTTGCACCTCGTTCCAAGCGCCATCGACATTTAATTTAAAATGTCCTGGCGGAAGTGCAATCCATCTTGGAATAGAGGTCGGCTTGGGCCCCCCATCATTGCTCTCCGTGCGATTTGAGTGAACAAATTCTTGCCAACGTTGTATTGATCTGGTCAGACAAACATCCAGAGTGTCCCACCATTCTTCCCATAGCTTAGCATTTCTAACTTCCCATAAGGCTGAACATAACATTAGGAACATATCAAATCGATCACATGGGAGCTTCTCGGCAATTTCAAAAACCCAATCAAGGAAAGAGATGTCCCGAGTATCACTCAAAATTATTCCCAAGTTTGATGCCAACCAAGTGCATTTAGCATAGGACAATGTCTTATTAGGTGCATAACTGTTTCTCTATGGGTATGGCATACAACACATGAGTCCTCATTAGTAATATAACGCTTAGCTAGATTAGCTTTGGTAGGGATCAAGTTGTTAGCTAATTTCCAGACACAAACCTTTACCGTCGGTGGTATGGTTGCTCCCCAGATCTTGTTCCATAACTTCGTATTTTCCTTTGCATTAGAGGAAGAAGCCCCTCCATTTTATGGATAAACCCAACTTTGTGCCACGTGATATGTTCTCCGAAATGTGAATCTTCCATTTTTCTCATAATGCCACATCAGTTTGTCCATTGAGACCCTGAATGCTGAGTGAAATTGAGCGAATCTGATTTTCCTCATCCTCCATAAAGAGCGTCTTCAGCAAGTCATGTCCCCATTCCACTTCTGATTTATAATGAGCTCATTCACTCGTTCTAAGCTACAATACGTTGGCTTTGGGAAGAGAAGCCAGAACTGTGATGGCCAAGGCATACCCATCTCAATGATTTTCCATGCACTACAAATGCTCCTCCAGGCATAAGATGCATTAGGCTTGACAGTTGCTTCTAGAAATGACCCATATATTTAGCTTTCAGGATTCTAGCCATCGTAAATTGGGGTTTAGAGATCAACTTCCACCCCTACTTTGCTAGCATTCTCAAATTGAATGCATATACGTTTCGAAATCCAAGTCCCCCCTCAGTTTTGGCCTGGCAGAGTTTCTCCCATGAGCACCAGTGGATCTTTCATTGTTATTCGTTCCCACCCCACCAAAAGGTTGTAAACATGCGATTTATGTCATCCCAGAAATATCGTGGGAGCAAGAAATAGCTCATAGTGTAGGTTGGAATTGCTTACGCCACTGCTTTTATTAATACCTCCTTACCCGAGGCACTAAGAAGTTTACCCTGCCATCCATGCGATCTTTTTGAAACCTTGTCCCTTATATAGTCAAAACACATCCTCCGGGATGACCGACCCAAGTCGGCATCTCGAGATACTTCTCATGTTTATCAACCCGTTGAACACCCAATAAATTGGCCAATCTCACCTGATCAGGTCTCTTGACGTTAATCTGCTAGCTTTGGGACGAGGTGCGAGGGAGCCCAGCTTTGCTGGCTTTAATAGACAAGCCTGGCTTTGGACCGCAGGCCAATTGAGCCCAGTCAATGACTGGCTGATGGGTTGAAGGCGCTGGACAAGCCTAGCTCATGCTGGCTTGGTCTGGTGCGGGCTGGAGCAGGGGAAAGCCCAGCAAACAAATGCTGGTATGCTGCTATTTAGGGCTATGGGCCCAGCAACATTCAAAAACCCTAGGCCGTGGCTCAGTCGAAGTATTTTCCAAAAAAATAAAAAAATAAAAAATTCGACAATCTTAGGGTTTGAAAAACCCTAATTACTTCTAACTTCTTTTGATTCTTTGACTCACAAATTTCACATAGCAAAAATTGTGTAATGCATGAAACACGTGTGTGTGTATCAGAAGGTAAATATAAATGTAGGGGGTTCATGCATCATAGTGAATGTTTTCATGCTTCATGGTCGTTTCAAATATCTTTCTTTATTTTAAGCGTACCTGATTGGCAGAAAACAACAAAAACCTTTAAATTTGTAGAAGATCCTTCTCAAAAAGCTGGAATTGCATCTCCAATGCATTGTATCATGTTCAACACAGAAAAATTAAATTGAATCAATAACATGTAGATCAATTCAAAATAATAAATTAATCATAATAATACTCCCCTAATTGAAGATCAAACTCTCTTTAACTCAACGTCAAGAGCGTGATGATAACGTGTTGTAGGCATAATTTACTGAACAATTATGGAGGCCATAGAGAGAGAGGTGCGGCACATAGAGAGAAGAGAGAGATGTGTAATTGTGAGGTGTGTTCTATTTCGCCCCATTGTGCCTTTATTTATAGTAGTAGAATAGGTAAAATCCTTATCATTTTAGGATTACAACTCTTAATAGGTAATCAAATCCTAATAAGAATATAAGAGATATTCATAGATACACTAGGATTTACACAATCACATTCCTAATCTAATAGGACTGCAACATACATAATAATTTAAAAATATTATAAACATCTTTCTGATCTTGAAGAGAAGATTATATTTTAATTTTAGGAGAGAAAAAAAATTCTGCAGGAAAAATATAGAAAAGAGATAATTAGATAAATATTTTGAATAAAAACGATGATTATCACTTAAAAAAGGAGTCCACAACTTCTTAAATACTTTAAAAAATTATCAAAAAATTGCAATAATAATTTCAAAAAACTTTACCTTTACGTTTTGGGTGAATAATATACATGCTAAAAAACAAAAAAATCTTTGCATGTTCAATTTTTTATTTTTGCACAAAAACCTCCAACATCAGAGGTTTTTAATGTGTTCTTTCAAGATGAAAAACTTTACTTTTATGTTTTGGGTGAAGGATTTCCAAGTTTCAGGGATCAAGGCCAAGTTAATAAGGAACGAATCACAAAATATGCTAAAGGATTAGAAAATGCATAAGATGAGGATTATAAAGGCACATGAGAGGAATTTTCAAGTCTCTACTTGAAGTGTGTGAAGAAAATTGAGGTTTCACCATAAAATCAACTGGCAAATATGGGGAGAAGTCTAACCTCTTATAAGCCCATGCAAGGTCTCTCCTCCTATCAATGTAAGACTCATTCTCAACACGCCTCCTCACGTGTGGACAATTTTCAAGCCTAACACGTGGACAACACAAATTGGGTGACGTGGAGCGCGTGTGGCCATTTGGCTTCACACGTGAGACAACTTGTCTTTGATACCATGAAGAAAGTTGAGGTTTCACCATAAAACCAATTGGTAATATGGTGAGTAACCCAACCTCTTATAAGCCTATGCAAGGTCCATCATCCTATCAATGTGAGACTCATTCTCAACAATGTGTCATTTACAAATCTTTCTTACATACCTTTGTAATGCTCATATAATGCATTCATAATCTATCCTAACTTTTTGTCATCTATTCCTTACTAACTTGGCCTTAATACTTTGAGACATAAAGATTATTCACAAAACATAGCCTAAATAAATATGAGTTATCCACTATACACGTACATATAAAATACGTGAAAATCGAAAGGGCCAAACTGGGGCTTATGTTCGGATTCTGAAATGTATACATTTACCCTATGTTTGAATGCGAGAATTTTAAATTACCAGAAAATTTTAGACCCAGTATTTATTTATTTATTTAAGAATTAGTTTGGCTTAAGAAGTCTGACAGCCTAGTTAGACAACGTTAGAGTTGAAGAATTAGTTTGGCTTAACAAGTCTCGACAGCCTGGTTAGACAACGAGTTTCTCAAGTTCGACTGATTAACTATCCTAAGTTTCCCTCAGCGAAGAGTCTTTGATCGAAAGAGGTTCTTTCATCACTCCAGTGAAGTGGAGTGTTTTATGATTGGATATTCTCAATTACTTTTAAAGTTTAGCATTCAGACGGCCGACCACGTTTACAATAAAGACACTCATTTCCTTTGAGTATCTTTGCCACTACAATTTGATACTAGTTTGGCAGACCTATATTCTCACCAATATAGTTGAGGTTGCCAAACTCGGTGCAAAAGATCAATAACTTCATAGAATTTGCACAACATTATCTTCAGGTCATAGAACCAAAGGCCAAGAGTGTTCATTTCTCGACTGAAGTTACTCAATTCAGGAGTCAACATCGCGATTCACCACAACACCACACTCATATTGCTCGACCGAGCTCGGTAGCAAGTTGGCACACTTTCATCA